TTATGGGGGAGCTAAGGCCCATCGCTGAACTCCTCGACATGGGCCGGCATGCGGGGCAATGCACAGGGCCTCAGGGGGTGAGGGGAATAGGGTGACCAGACAGCAAGTGTGAAAAATCAGGACGGGGGGGCGGGGGAAAATAGGAGCCTATATAAGAAAAAGACCCAAAAATCAGGACTGTCCCTATAAAATCAGGACATCTGGGCACCCTAGAGGGGAAAGGGCAGCGTGATTCTTTGCAAAGCTCAGCTCACATGCTACTAGCAGAATCTCCGCCCTAAGGAAAGCACAAACCCCGAGAGGGAGGGAGGAGTCGGAGAGGGAAAGAGGATTAAAATAGGAAGGGAAAAAACACCCCAAAATATCCCCGGGGAAAGGCAAAACAATAGCCCCCTGCAGGCATGCTCAAGAGAGGATGGATGGGCAGGAGGATCAGGCACTGGACTGGGACTCTGGAGATCTGGGTCCTGTTCCTGGGTCTGTGCTTCTGAATTGGACAGTGCTTGATACCACAGTGACAGGCACAGCACAAAACCCCTGGGAGCGAGGGAGGCGCTTTAGGCATACGCTGGACCCACGGATTAGACAGACTTCAGACCGGGAGTGTAAATGGTGGAGGACGACACTAACACGTTGGGGAAAATAAACCTCTGTGAGTTTCTGCAGGTTTTCATTTAACCTGAAGACAAAGACAGGCTTTGTGAGGGAGACCGAGCCTGCTCATGGAAATACCTGGACTTTCCCCTTTAACTAGATGTTTTACCACCGCCAAATTTAGGGAACTATAAAAGGCAGTAAGTGCCCATTAAGTTTTTATTTGCTGCAGATTTTTCAGTAACTGGCGGGAGCCCTGACAAAGGCAGAATTTCACCAGACTCAACGAGGAGGAGGGCTGGAGACTTAAAAACCTTTCTCTCCTGCTATAGCAGAAGCTGCTCTCCCAGCACCAGCCCTGGGGATTATTACATCTCCGAGAAGGGAGTGTCGATGCCTCTAAAACAGATGTAAACTGAAACCCTATAAACATAAAAAACGGAGTCCAGAAAAGCTGCTGCCTTTGCAATGAATGGGACCCAAGTGCAGTCACTCGCTGCTCCCCAGGTGGCACCTACCAGGCCCGCAAAACACCGCACTAGTTAAAAAATAAACAATTCAGTTGCCTGCCTGTTGCCCATTTTCTCACCATTAACACTCGCCGTTTGCCATGGGCCTGGCACACCCTGGCCTGCCCAGCTGCTTCCTGCAGGGTGAGAGGACAGTGGCTGTGGGGCTGGCAACCTGGCACATGGCCTGTGGGCACAGGAAGGAAACGAGAGTGGAAGAATCTCCTCCCGCAGCAGGCCCAGCCAGCTCCACCCACCAGCGCCCACAGCCTGGGCAGCTGCTTCAAAAACACAAACTAAAAAGGGAGAAAATGATCGGGACCCATCTCCTTCCTGGCCTGTTAGCAGAGAACCGGGTAGCTGCCACCGCGGCCTTGCACAGGACAGCAGCAGTGAGACCCCGCTGGATCCAAAGCGTTCCACAGACTTACCGAGCTCAGCCTCGGCTCCGCTGGGCGCTAGGCAGGGATCCAGACACACAGAGGGGAGGGGACCTGCTCAGCACTAAGCACTGACCCAGGGAAGGAGCTGGGGATAGAACCCAGGGACCTGCTGTTGTTGTTCAAATGGGTGCCTAAAGTTAGGTTCCCAAGTCCTCCTTTGGCACCTAAATAAGCGGCCTGGTTATCTATAACACTGAGCACTCAGCAGCTCCCGCTGCAGCCACGATTTGCCTACCTGTGCCTTTAGCACAGGGCCCTCCCTCTGCCCGAGAGCTATCCTACACTGCCTGAATGCACCTCTCTGGTTAGACCCCGGAAGTGACGCCAGCCTGGAGGAAAGCAGGCTTTCCAAACAATCTACTCAGGCTGTACAAACCCCCTCCTGGCAGAGAGCAGTGCAAAAGGCAGGTAAAATGTATGTACATGTGGATCTTACGGACCCTCTCCTACCGGATATTTGAGGGTCCATCCGCATTGGGAGCAGGACCAGGCTAGGTACAACCACTTCCCAACATGGAGTCCACATGGACAGAGAATGGTTTTCTCTGTGCACAGCCTCTGAGTGGGTGCCAAATGACAGACTCTGCCCCCAGCAGGGCTCCTCACCATGGCTGTGTCAACGTAGCTGTGAGGTGTTACTGGGAAAGGCTAAAGCTCGGTGCCCATTTGCTAGTTGCTTGCTCTGACTAAACTACAGCTCAAGAGCATCTGAAGACAACGGAGCAGACTGGGGCAGGGGAAGGAGAAGGGGAGTCTGCCCTGGAATCCTCATTAAGCTCTCAGAAGTTAAGAAGCCCATCTCCCAGCCTCCTGCCGTACCCTCATAATGCAACAGCCAGTCTGATTCCCAACACAGCCCGGTCACTCGAAACCCAGCAAGCTACATCCCATGTACTGTCACAGTCTCCATGCCCCATGGAGTCAGGCGCACGGCTTGTCTCTAGGACTAAGGAGAGCCAGTCCTGGCCACCCCTCACACGCCTGGGGGAGTTTCAATCATATTCCAAAGCTCTCTAGGAAACGTCTCAGGGGACGGGCGGCTTTCTATGCAGAACCCTGTTTATTCAAGACAAGTGCATATTGGTGAGAAAAAAAAAAAGCAAAGGAAGTTAAAATGCCAAGAGGAGAGCTCAAAGTTTGCCATAGTTTGTGGCACCTCTGGGCTCTGTGCTGAGGCAGCAAGGGTGACCTCTGGCTCCAGAGCCAGTTACTACTGTCTGGAAGGCAGTACGGGGATGGGAGTGCCAGGATGCCAGCTCCTTGGCTTGCATCACCCTGTAGGGAAAGGTTGAGGCCATTACCACGCACGACTGTTGTCAGTATCTCTCTCTGTAGCATTCTAGAGCTCCCATCACTGGGACACATTGGTGCCGAAATCGGTATGCTAGCCAGTGCACCATGGCTGTTCATGCTAGGCTGGGATTTGCAAAGCAGCCAAAGGGGGTTAGGCACCTAAATCCCATTGAAATTCAGTGAGAAAATCCCAGCCTTATTCACCAACACAGCTCACTTGCGGGTACCATACACTTCATGTCATCCTGACCATTCCAGCATTGCTATGTTCCCCTAGGGAGCGGGAGGGCTGGATACTCTCCCGCAAACAACAGCCACCATCTGGTTACAGCCCTGTTCCTCCCCTCCCGGCCATCAGCCACAGACAGACAAACCCACCAATCACTGCAGAGAAACATCAGCACTGGGAGTTCTGCTCTTTATCCTGGGGCATGGTAGGCACATGAAATGGATGCCAAGCACACAATACCTTGGGGTTTTGGGGGAGGAAGAGGACTAGTGGGGAGGAGGAACAATGAGTCCTAAACACAGAAATGCCCCACAGAACATTCTTGTGTAGTTCACGCCAAGACGCAGTAAGTCAGAAAGCCTGTGCGTTGGTGACTGGTCTGTTTATTCTCTGCCTCACCGTGGGGAAAACCAAGGCTTTGAAATGCTATAGCGTTACTCAATGTTTGGGGGCTGCCTGCAGTGCCCAGGTTGGCATTGGGCCAGGCCCATTAATACGTGGCCATTACACCTCAACATGCCACCGGGTTACAGAAAATTACAGGGGTAGAAGGGAAACAAAAGCCTCCCAGCCTAGCCAGGGAGAGGCAGGCTCCCATGGGTCTTGTTCGCAGCTCCTGGCAAAGAGCAGGGGAAGGGTTGTGACTGGTCACAGCAGAGTTGCCTGTGAGCCAAACCCATTAGAAGCCCTTTAGTAACAAATAGTGATTAAAGACAAGTGGGAAGCTCTAGTTTGGGGGACCTGGTCTCTAGCCCCAGGAAAATGCCACTTCGGTTGTGGGAAGCCCGTGCTGCAGCAGCCGGCCGAGTCAGCGCTCGCTCTGCGATCACCCAGTGAGAGTGCTGGCAAAGCTTGGGAGCACTGAACCACCACCAGAGCCTGGGCCCTAGGCAGCATCAGGAGCTTCTGCAAAAGCCAGGAACTCAGCCAACCCAGCTGACACATGACACACAAACAAGCGACGGGCAATGTTCCCCAGTTCCCCAACATCTCCTTCTTTTCGGAACGGTGCTTTCATCACACACACTAATGGCCAGTAGAGACCAGACCGAGCACCAGGACCCAGACCAGAGCTCTAACGCAGTTCTCAGGTGAGGGCAGGCTAGCGCATTCCCCTGCTGAACCCAGCGGGGCCATGACCACAAGTCAGTGAGATGTTTACCACGAGTTACTCCAACACCACAACACAGACTCCCTGACATTCAATGAGGACTCCCCAGCATCCTCCAAAACAACTAGCCAAGGCAAGGCCGGTACCTGTCTCGTTCGATAATGGGGGAGGTCACCACACTGATCTCAACTACAGCTCATCAGAATGAGGGAAATGCTTGCCATGAAACAGAATCAGCTCTCCCGTCCCACAGACAAGGGGGAACCCCTATCAGCTTTGACACAACCCGGTCAATGTTTTTCATTGCACACATTTTTTTCCAGAGGAAAAATGGTCCTTTTTTTTTTTTCCAAAAAGTTTCTTTTGAATTTTTCTCCTTTTTAAGAAATGTTCCCTTATTTTGTTTGTTCTGAATGGCAACGTTCCTTTGGCAATACTTCCCGTTTCCCAGCCAGCACCAGCTGGCGGCTGGTGAGACGTTTTTGCAGCTTCTCGGCTCAGGTAAGCCTGTCTTCCCTTAGCACAAGCACAAACCGTTCACTGCAACAGCCAACATACTCGCTGATCGTGTTCCTACTGCGGGACTTCAAAACAGTCTGTGCTTGTTTCATAAGAAAGTCAGAGACACCCAATATCTTATAACCATTCAGGAGCAGCAACTCAAAGAAAGAGGGCTGCGAACAGACGTGCCTCTTATCCCAGCAACCTGCCCTTAAAAGGGCTCTTTCTGTCACATTTCTATTCACTAGCAGCAGGAGCTCTTGACTCCAGCCAGAGAGACTCTAGACATGAGAGGAGCAGAAGGGTATGGTTCCTCTTACCTTGGTCTGGCAGGGTTGGTGCTGGCCTTGCAGTGCACAGCGTGGCTGTGACCAGCACAGCCCAAAAGAGGAGGCACCTCCAGGTAAACATCCCAGTTCTACAGCTACTGGTTGGCAACTGGGCTCCAGAACTCCATGGGGACTCCCGTCTAGACTGCCGGCTTGCTAGCTGGGGCTCGCTTAATCTTCTCTTCCAAACTTCCAGTCCCTTCAAACTGCCAACCAGGAAACAAGAAGAGTTAGATCAGAAGTAACTCCGGCCCCTGCGCAGTGACAAACAGAGAACATAGGAAATCCTCTCTCAAATTAAACTGCCTCAGACGTGGATTTAAAAAAAAAACCTGTTTGTGTTAAAATCGATGGGGATAAGTCGCTGCGATTTCTAGCCCTCTCTTTCATTTAAAATACAAGTGTTTGCAGCTCTTTTTGTCAGTAGGTGACATATGCTACAAAAGAGAACAGCTCCACCGTGCAATAATAAAGTCACTCTGCGAGTGTGACCTTCACAGCTAATCTATAAACAGTGACGTTTCAGTCTGGACTCCCCTGGGAACCTAGGGGCTGGCTGCACTTCCAAATTTGGGTGCCTAAAGCGAAGCACCCAAAGCTATGTTTCAGCACCTCAAAGCAGCCACCCATTTCTCAGAAGTGCATTTCCCCTGGGCTGCAATAAGGCTGCAGGGGCTCCACACCAGAGCTCCTCGGGAATTTTTCAACGAAAAATTCCAGTTTGCCAAAACCAAAACTGTTTGCAGAAAGGGTGGGTCTGGACAAACCTCCAGACTCAAACAAACATTGGAAAAAGGTCCGAAAAACCTGTCAAAATATCCAGTTTCAGCATTTGCTAATTGAAAAGTTTTGGTTTTTCATTGCTTATTTTGAAGCACACAAGTTTTAAAAGGGCCTGCCTATGTCAAAGTCTCACCAGATCTTTTGCTTCTATAGCATCTCTCATCTCAAAGCAATTCAGGAGCTTCAGAAACTTACCCAAATATATCTGCACCCACCACTGAGGTGCAAGACAAGTGACCCCACCAGCACCACCCAGCAGTAACTCAACGAAAGCAGATATTCCCAAGCAATTGCATGTGTGCTGGAGCAGGGCTTGTACAAAAACAGAATAGGAACTGTCCTTCAATAGTCTCCAGCTCCAATCAGGGACATAACCGTGGGGGGGGGAGGAGGGATGTGTGCGCAAGCGCACAAACACACGTAACACAACAGAACCAAATTTATCTGAACTCCTCTTATCCAAAGCTTCCCATTAGCCAAAACCAAACAAACTTTGCATCCCCGCTTCTATTCAGGCGAAAGAGATTCTGCTGCGTACAGCTCTGTGAACACAGGTTTTGCAGGACGACCCATCAAGGCCCTTCAATTCGCCCCCGACCGATGTGCACTCTCCCAATAAACGGCATTTGATCTCCACTGAGTGACATGCCTAGCTTGTTGTGAAGAAGCAGAGAGCTTCAGGATCTGACTTCCATGGTCTAGTCTTCAGCTCACTGGAATTGGAAAACCCAGATTTCTGGAACCAGCGGGTTAATTTGCATCCATTAGCTAGGGTTACCATACGTCCGGATTTTCCCGGACATGTCCGGCTTTTGGGGGCTCAAATCCCCGTCCGGGGGGAAATCCCCAAAAGCTGGGCATGTCCGGGAAAATCGGGAGGGATGGTAACCCTAGCTAATGGATGCAAATTAACCCGCTGGTTCCAGAAATCTGGGTTTTCCAATTCCAGTGAGCTGAAGAC